TTATGAACAGAAAAAGGCTTACCAACTGCATCAAATTAATAAGCAAAGCTGTAGCAGTTTGGAATTCTTTAGAAAGCTAGAGCTTTGCTTTGAATCTCAGGATACCATAAGCTTACCTTGGTGATCCAAAAAGTAGGAGAGGTGAACACCTTCACAGGTCTAGAAGGGAAGAACTACTGATTTGACCGAATCAGATTTCTTAGTGCTTATTTTGAGCTCTGTCCTTACTTCTTTCTTTGACCTTGGCCATGTCACTTTGCTGCTAATCTTTTGTGCCACTTGGTGGAACACAAACATGGTGACTTTTATAAAGCACTTTGCTAACTGGCATGAACACCCTCAGCAAAATCTTTCAGTGTAGTGCAAATAACAAACATTTTGCTGAGCCAGTCAAAAAAAAGAGCAAATATGCTTTTGCTAGTTCTCTGCTGCATTAGTTAACTGGCATTATTCCTACAGCAATGCTGGCATATCTAACCTTGACAGACAAGTAGAAACAAACAGGACCAGCTTCATTATTTACAGTATTTCACTAAAACCAACAGGATGGCCCTTTTGATCCTAAGCATTATATGCCAAGCACCTTCCTCTGGCCAGAAATGAGACTCAAATCACATAAGAGAAAGGGTAACTCCAAGAGCTGTGCTAAACATAGTGATATTGACTTCAGTGGGCATTCCTAGTTGCTTTTTTGTATAGCTCAGCATTAGTTTACTTAGGAGCCTACACACTGGGAGAGGCCTACCATCAATTCTGTAACATATTCTCAGTGGAGAACCAACATGCAGCTGTAGAGGGAAAGGTCAGCAATATCAACAGATGAAAAGAAAAAGAAGCCAGAGAGGATTGTCAGATTATTAAGATTTTCATATGGAATAAATTCAATCTCTTGAATCAAATGCCAAAAAAAAGATAAATATTTATCACCTCACACAGCAGAACAAAATACCTCGCCTGGGTTTTCTTTTCTTTTGTGTAGTTAGTTATACATCTGACATGCGAGTTGGTTACGCCACTGGAACACTTGCGTACCAGATCACTGCCAACTGAACTGACACTCAGCAAAAGAATTTCAGGGTCTCTTAAAAATACACCACAGGTGTGCCATTTGTTCTGTAAGGATCTGGGTGATCTTTATCCATGATCTGTAGAGATGCCATTGCCTGACAGCATTCCCAAAGCAATGAAACAGGCAACTCTCACAACCTCCAAGGTTTACAATAAATGTCTGCCTCAAACGAACACAGTACTTAGACAGGGCATTTTTCCTACACCCTAAATGTATTAGCATTAAACGTAAAGCTATGACAGTGAAAAGGCGAAAAAATTAAGAAAAATTATGTAACAGATAAAATGTCCACCTTCCTTGTTAAAAGAAGGAAAACAGAAAATTGGTTTGGAAAGTGCTTTTCGATGAAGAGAATCTCAAGAAACAGACACGTCCTGAATCTTCAAACAATCCCTGAAGTTCAGTCCCAAAACAAGATAAAGTTAGCTCCCAAATCAATCAAAACCTTATGTTCTTTTCTATGAAATCAGAAATGTTGAGAACGATTCTGAGCATTGTTTTGGTACCTACTGCTTGAGTCCACAGAGCTGCAATAGTTTAGATTAAAAAGGATTTTTTTCCTCCAAATACTTACAGATATAAATTGAGTAATTTCTCAGACTTGCATTAAAGGGCCTGCTTGACTTATTTTACTGTTCAAAATGCAATGTGACCTTCTTAAAAGGTTCATCATGAAGTACTGTCCTTATGCAGTCTAAATATAGGCAGACATCTGAAAGCCCAGCATTCTCTGATTTTTTTCTATTCTAGTAGAAAATTTGATTTTAAATAAGGCAACTCTGTTCTTTCCCATTCCCCCACCTTGTTCCCTAACTCTCAAATTAACTTATCCTTGCAGCTTCAGATGGATAGTGCAGGTCCCAGCTGGTGCTTGAAGGCAAGATGAGATGTACGAGAATCGCTATCTATTACTAGACGTAGGCAGTACCAATCATAGATCAATACAGCTGATGCTCCCATGACGGCTCTACAGTACTTGGAGATGTTTAGTACATGAAAGAAATGTGTCTGCAAGAATCTTTTCCAAGTTCTCGCAAGCAGAAGCTGTTCCTTTTCCAGAGACACATTACTGCCTATCAGCTGGTGGGTGGTAACTTGTGCGAAGAAAATGCTGCAAGTTTGTAATTCTACAGGCACAAAGATAACAAGGTAACCTGCTCTTTATTATCCACAGTAACTGAGAAAACGAAGTACCTCAGGAAACCACAGAAAACACGAGACATATAATCAGAATGCAATAATATACTTAATCCACTAATCTTTAGAAAACTTGTAAAAAGCTCTGCATAGGAAACAGAGCAGAGCGATTTCTAAAATTATTGCTACATAGAATGGAAAGGGGATTTCAGCAATGCAGTGACAGAGTATTTAGGGAAGACATGACTTGGGTAGTCCAAAGTTGTTTATCCTACAGATAACCATGTTAAGTCTTCCTGCACGTACAAGTAATATATACTTTTGTGAAGGAAAAAAACCCCACACACCAAAACAAAAAAAAGCCACCAAAAAACCCACAACAAACACAAAAAACCTCAAACAGAAGAGGCCAACAGTCCCTCCTCCCGCCAAAAGTTCCACCACTGTCATAATCTAATATTTATGATACTTGTTTTATAGATACACCCAGAAAAGAACATGTGTTTTCAAATGTTTAAAATAGTATACATATTTTAAAATTTCCCTCCCACCACACGGCACAGAAAGAACTCCTCTAAACAGCTGTTTTAATATTTCAAGCCCATACCTGAGGTTACTAATTCATCTTATTTCAAAAGAGAATTACAATACAAAGAATTTTCACTATAATATCTGAGGTCCTTCCCTCCAGTACCAACTCTACCTTTATTTAGTGTTCCAAATGTAGTACTGCTTTCTGCTGACTTAGCTGTAGTTGAATTTTCCTGTACCCACCATTTCTGTATTAGATCTGATATATCATCTCTGGTCAAGACCACCATGCAAATTCTCTACCGCTCCGCTCCAAACACAGGATATCTTTGAATCCTTCCACAGGTATTCCCACTCCTTATTCTTTTGCTATTGCTTCCTCCCAAATGAGGAAAAATCTAGCAATATATGTAGCAAAGCCCTCAACTTCTCACTGACAATATACAGTGCAGCACAATTATGTACTGCTGATTCACTGTGACAAGAGACATTTACTCTTGCTGCTGACAGCGCGGATGTTTTCTAGCATCCATATCTGTGTTTGGTTGGTGACACCGTGTCCCTCTGGTTGGCTTGGTTCTCTGGTTAATACGTTTTGTTTTCACAACCAGCAGTCTCTAGTCTGAATAAAAGAGTGAAATACCATGAGCTAACAGGTTGTTATCTTAGAAAAAACTTTTCTTCTAAACCTCAAAAATGGTCACATAGCATTAAGCTATAAAGTCTCAATGGACTGTTAGCAAAATAAGCAAGTAGATATTTTCTTAGGTAAAGAGGAAAGGCCCAGCAGCTAAAGGCAACTATTTCTTATTCACAGATGCAGCCAGCCATCCATTAACCAAGTCCATCGATCGTTCATTTTACAGCGTTTATCAATCAGCCCATATATATACTGTTACCTGTAAGGGAAGGGTTTAGGTATTAGGAAATCTTTGTATACGTTAAGATTGCCTTACTCTTAACAGAAAGTGAAACTTTAATAGTATAATAGTATTATAGAAACCTTTTCGTTGAAAGCTCTCATAGTTCCTATTTTCAAATTCACTAACAAGAGTTAATAATACTTTTCTTTTCCTTCACAACAAACTCTGTAAATTCACTGCCACAAGATTTGAGGCCAAAAGACCATACGAAGATTGCTGTAGATCTCCAGGCCTTGCAGACTGTAATGGTTAAGGCTAGCCGTAATTAACCTACTTAAGATATTAAAATTCCCATCTGTCAGACCTCTTTGCTAGATGTTACTGCCCTCAAAGCAAAAGCAAACATGTGCCTGCATCCCAGCCACGCAGTTCACAGCACTTCTTACTCACTCAAGCCATAAGTGAAAATGAGTTCATACTCGCACACCTATCTAAACCACTGCAGCCAATATACAGCTACGTTTGCTCTTGCCATCTAGACACAGGCAGAGAGAAAGGTTGAACAGCTGCACGCAGGCATCAGGAAATGATCATCTTTAAACCACTGCAGCAGTTTGATCCCACACGCATAAAAGTGTTCCATGCACGTGTTTGACTTCAAGGCAATTTTAAGTTTGGGAAAATAGAGACACTACAGAAACAATACCCAAGTGGCAGACAGTAAGACTTAGTATTACAGAGTAGCTATTCACTGTGATTTCTAGAATTGTAACCACCAAATTTCAGTCCCCGTGCTCTAATGTAAAGCACCACAAACCAGCTCAAATCCTGGATGTACAAGGGAACCCACCAGGACATCTACCTGTATTAATGTTTCTGTCAACACCAGCTCTATTAGGGATAGAGAGAAGGTCCAATTCAGC